CCAAAGTCAAAATTAACTTGGGGGTAGAATTGAAGGGAGGTGGGGAAGTATGTTCGGGTTGGGGGGTACGGGGGGTTTCCCGGGGGTAGAAACCATCAATTTTACGAACGGGGCACCGTAGCGGTCCCGGGTTACCCCGTGACATGGGTTCCAATGTCATGGGAACCCCTCCGATACTCCATATGTGTTTTTCTTATATCTTAATGTTCATGCTTTAGAATTTTTCCACTCTGAACTCCCTATGTTCCTATTTATTTGTATTCATTAAAAGCCTGTTTGGATAACAAGTGTGTAATTGTGATTTATTGTAATTGTGTGCACTTACTCTTTTCTTCATGTTTGGTTGGTCGCATAATTAAAAAATCAAGATGTAATTGGTGTAAAATTGAAGGGTTCGAATTGCAGTTTCATGTTCTGATGGGGAGGGGGTTGGAATGCAATTACACTCAATTAATTTAAAAAACTCAATTACACTTTTCTGTTACCATTAACCAAGCACATAGATAATACCTGTAGTAATTACTTGGTATTTACCCTGACCAGCTAACAATTTGCAAAATTACAAGTTCTTGAAACTACAGTCATGTAATTAATATCCTAATTACGAGGTCGTGTAATTACAATTCATTATCCGAACAGGCCCTAACCAATCTTCCTTGAAACTATTTGTTTTAAGCGATCTAAGCACACCAAGTATGTATTTTTAAGAAAATATACACATCATTTACTAATCATATGAAGTCAGCAATTTGCAATCACTCAATCTAAAATGATACTCCGTATCATTTTTAAATAAAACGAGAACAGTTTTTCATTCACTCAAATGCATTTTCTTGAACTGGGCAGTTTTGTTAACAAAGACAAATAGGAATATTGATACTCTGCATATACTTGTGTGTTCATTGATCTCTCCCTTTTCAGGGTAGTGCTCTGGCTGCAGCCGGAGGCGGCAGTTTATCAATCAAACTATGGGACACCGCCCAATGGCAACACATTATCGACCTATCCATCCCTCGTCCGGAAACCTCTAAGCCGTCTTCAGAGAAAAGTGGCACGAAGAAATTCGTCCTCTCTGTTGCGTGGAGTCCAGATGGTAGGCTGATCGCCTGTGGTTCAATGGACGGAACTATCTCTGTCTTTGATGTCCCACGTGGCAAATTCTTGCACTTCTTGGAGGGCCATTGCATGCCAGTACGCTCTCTTGCCTTCTCACCTTCCCTACACGATTCGCGGCTACTCTTCTCTGCCTCTGATGATGGGCATGTCCACATGTACGACGCTCAAGGGAAGGCCTTAATCATGCCTCTGTCTGGCCACTCCAGTTGGGTCCTCAGTGTTGACGTGTCCCCTGATGGGGGAGCCATTGCAACCGGATCGAGTGATAAGTCGGTCAGGTTGTGGGACCTTAAAATGAGGGCAGCCACTCAGATATTGACAACACACACGGACCAAGTCTGGGCAGTCGCTTTTGGACCGTCCGAGAAAACCGACCGTGGATCTTGTATGCTCACCAGCGTTTCGGATGACAAAAGCATTGCCCTCTACCTCTACTCCTAGTTGATTGATCGATTGCCTTCAAAGGAGGTCTGTTTGTCCACTATCTTTTTTTCTTTCTTTTATTGAGTGTACAATCTCACAGTCAGTCCTTGTGCAGTTTGGTTTCCATCCTTTTTTTTGGAGGTTTTAATATGCAATTGATACAAAAGGGTAGGGGTGAGCATGGTACGGTATGGTACGGTATTTAGCCCGTACCGATACCGTACCAAATATTTCGGTTCGGTATGGGATTTTACACCGTACCGATCCCGATCCCGACATATCGGTTCGGTATGGTTCGGGATGGTTCGGTATCGGTTTCGGTACAAATCGGGATGAATATACATGCCTACTTTACACCTTAAAGTTTAACAATGTCCCCTTATTTTTGAAAATTAAAAGTGAATTTAAATAAAAAAAAACGTGAAAAATTAAAAAAAATGAATATTTAAATGCAAGGGATGCATATCAAAACATAGTTTATATTTCACAAACTAAAAAATGAACGACAACAAAGGGTTTTTCGAATCTTTGTGAATACTTTTATGTTTATACACAAAAACTAAAACTCAAATAAAAGTATAACTTACACATGATAAAACTTGAACCAATATTTTTTTAAAAATTACTCCGTATTATTTAGTGAAGGAATATGAAAAATATTACTCCGGGTTATTATTTTTTATAATATTTTAGTATATATGTTCGGTTCGGGATTTTCGGTATGGTACGTCACCTCGTACTGTTCCCAAATACCGTACCGACCATTCGGTTCGGTACGGTTCGGTTTCTTCTCGGTACTTTTTCGGTTCGGTATTTTTCGGTTCGGTATTCTCGGTATTTTCGGGAAATTTCGGTATCGGTTCGGTACTTGCTCACCCCTACAAAAGGGTTTTGGATTACTAAAGCTTTCATCAAATAGTAGGGTGGGACATGTAAGAGCTATTTTAATTCAAGATTTAGTTGTATCACTCATCTCCCTATGGGAGTGTTATACTCCCTCCGTCCCAAATTATAATGCATGTTTACTATTCACAGGGTCAAACTTCATTCACTTTCTTTCTCTATTTTCGTTAGCAATTTGATAAAATAAAATATTATTGTCACTACTAGTTTTGTAGATCTTTTGATGTAGTTTTTTAATATGTAATTTTTATTTTTTAATTCTATACCATTTGTCATATAAAATGATTTGAAAATAATTTCAGTCAAACATCGTAAACCGACAGGCGTTATAAAATGGGACGTAGATAGTAGCAAATATACCTTCAAAAACAAGGATCACAGTGATTAGTGCAATAACTGCGTTCGCCGACCACGATATTATAAGCCACGCCCTCATCTCACCCTTTGAAAGGCCGGAAGGGAGACGATGGCGGACAAGCGCCGCCGCCGCCGCATGGATCGTTTGAATTGTATACGTAGTATGTATGGGATGTTCTACGGGTGGGTATATTTTACTAATAATCTATCCCATCAAATCTCACTTTTACCTATCATATCAAAAAAAAAATGGAAATTCAATACCAAATTACACTTCCTTTAAATCTCTTAAAAATTAACTTCCATATTTTTAAGATGATCCATCAATTAGGGTTAGTTTGATCTAGAAGGAGAGACTCCAATGGGCCCCAACTACTCATAACAGGGCCCAACTCGGTTGCTTGTCCTCTGGCTATTCGGCGACTATTATAATTATAACTATTAGAGGGGATAATAGCATGGATGCCCCCCGTGTTTACAAAAAGAGCGCCAAATCTCCTTTTTTTTTATTAAAAGCACAACTTTATTACCACCTCAAAGTACGAAAAGTACGAATACAACCAACAAACCAAAAGTCTATCTCAAAACAACATTTTTTAGACGATAATTAATAAAAGACCTCATTTGAAATTTTTATCCCAAAACTCCTACTTTCAAAAGTTATTTGTAAAACCCTTGTGGTTTTTAAATAGTGCACAAACACCCCTCTTGCCTATTTTACACATGAAATGACATTTCTGCCATTGGTTTTTCTCTATCTTCAAATTTTACTCTTTTCTTTACATTTTTTGTTATACAAATAAATAAAATAAAATATACACCCTCTTTCTCAAATTAAATTTTTTTATTTATTTAATTTTCAAAAAAATAATTTTTTAAAGAAAATGTTACAAAAGTGAAATAAAATACACTTTTTCATTATAAGTAAAAGTAAAATAAATAAAATAAAAAATTGGATAACATATACTCACTCTATCTATAATTAAAAATTCTAACTTATTTGTTTTTTAAAAGTAAAATAATTTTTTAAGGACTTTAAAAAATGAAGAACAGAACGATGAAATAAAATATGGAGTTAAAGAAAAAGACTATTTTTTATATTTTTATTTCTTTTCATTACTTTTTTTAACTATTATCACTTTTTACTTTGTACATAATATTTTATTTTTCATTTTTTTGTAACATTCTCCAAAAAAATCTTTTGTTTTCAAAAGTACATTATGAAAAATTGTAATTTGAGATGGGAAGCGTATATTTTATTTTATATATTTGTATAATAAATGAAGTTGAAAATGGAAAAATTCAAGATCGGGGAAAACAAAGGGCATAAATGTCATTTTTGCTTTAAAAATAGGTAAGGGGGGCATGTGTGCTCTATTTAGAAACCACAGAGACTTTACAAATAACTTTTGAAAACATGGGGGGTTTTGACGCCCTTTTTGTAAACCACAGGGGGCTCCCGTGCTATTAACCCACTACTAGAGCATTTCAAATACGTATGAAGCCACAGGGCTTCAAACTTTCTCTTTCTGTCACGTCTGTTTTAACTTACACCAAAAATTCTCTGGAAATGGTTTTGAAGCCCCGGGGCTTCAAACTGGGGCTTCAAACTTTCATTTTTTACATTTTTAAATATACATCTTCTAAATTTAAATTAATAAATTTAAATTAATTTATTATTTAAATTAATCGCAATGAGACTAGTGCATTAAAAAAATTACATTCATTAAAAAAAATCTTACATTCATAAAAAAACATTCATAAAAAAATTACATTCATTAAAAAAAATATTAATAAAAAAACAACAGTACAAAAAAATTACTAATTATTCGAACGACTAAAGATATGTTCGATCAAATCCGCCGTTAGTGCATTGTGGATCTCTCGGCTTCGAATTTCTTGGCGGTTGCGTCGTTTCTTTTCTTTGGTGATTTCTTCGTACATAGGCACCTCTTCGTCCGGGTTGTATTGACAAATCGCAGTCCCGTTATCCTCTATGATCATATTATGAAGAATAATACATGCGTACATGATATTCCTCATTTTTGTTTGAGAATAACATTTCGACGGACAATCTAGAATGTGCCATTTACTCTTCAAGAGCCCAAAGGCTCGTTCAATATCTTTTCTCGTCGCCTCTTGAGTTTTTTTGTAGGTCTAGCGTTTAAGACCCATTGGTTCGGAGAGGGATTTGACAATCGTGTAATAATCTGAATATATTCTATCGGCCAAATAATATCCACGCTTGTAAAACGTTCCTCTAAGCTCAAAAGAGGAGTATGGTGCGGTCTCATTAACCAATCGTCAAAAAGAAAGCTCTTCTTTCATCGTCGGAAGATGAACCGATTTTTAAAATATATTTTATAAATATTTATAATAAATAATAAATATTTTAGAGAGAATATAAAGAAAGATGTGTGTGAGAGATGTGTGAGAGAATGATTTTTTAAGGGAATTTATATTTTTTTTTAATTTTGATTTTTTTTATTTGGGGGGGGGGGAGGCTAAATTAGCCGTTGGAGACTGTTGGGGGAGGGATGATGAAGGGCTGAACCGCGTCATTTGTTTGACGCACAGGCGATGACGCCGGGGTAACGCCGCCGGGGGGCGGTGTTTAACGCCCCTGGGGCGTTAAATGCCCCCTCACGCCCCCGGACGTTACATATATACCCAGTGCCCTTATAGCTTCTCCTGTTTTCCACATAATCAGTAGTGCCCTCCGAAAGATGGAACACAGCGTATACTGCAACCAACACAAAAAGCAACCAGGATAACACACTCAACGTCGTGATGATCTCCCCCTTTGAAAGGGGAGAAGACGGTGGACAGGCCGCGGCGGCGGCGGCATCGTCTCCGCTGCTGCATGAATTGTATAGATAGTAAACGTAGTATAGGGAGTATGTAGAGTATGGACTGGACATCTTTTAGTGAAATTTGCACTAAATAGGACTAAAACATACTCCCTCCGTTTGGAAAAACCCTTCCCATTTGATTTGGGGGCAAAAATAAGGAAGTGTTAAATTATGTAGTTGATTTCCAATTTTGCCCCTGATTTGATGGGTAAAAGTAAGATGTGATAGATAGATTATTAGAGAAAAAGTATGATGTGATAGGTAGGGTATGAAAAAGTAAGGGTAAAAGTGGTTTTTAATAGAAAGGGGAGGTGTTTTGTTGGAAGTAGAAAAAATAAAAGATGAAGTGTTTTTGAGAACGGAGGGAGTAAGTCATTTCCTAATATAGAACTTAAACTTTTTTATTCTCTAAATAGGACTTAATAATGACTAGTGAGAAGAATAATGTCCAAGTGATGCTGGATATTTAGTTGAATAATGATTAATAGATAATGATCAAATGTCCTACATTGAGAAATAAAAACATATGGTCTTATATTGAGAAAGTCATTATGTTTTAGTCCTATTTAGATAAATTACCCCATCTTTTACTCTCTTTTAACGTAATGTATTATTCTTTCGTGCTTTTTTTCTTTTTCTCGATCAGCTCCTTTTACGTCGTAAAAGCATCACCATGCATGCATATAAATATAGTAGAGGATCAATTAGGGTTTTACAAGGGAATGTCCAGTGCCGCCCAATCATTTAAGGTGGCCCTGTGCAACTCAATCATTCAAGGCTCTAGGATATAAAAAAGGAGTGGTTCAAGGTGACCCAATCATATTAGAATTAAATTTGTGAAAAAACAATAAAACCTGGGATAAGCAAATAGATTGTGCAGCACTGCAGTAGATAGAAAATGGATGAAGAGAGGAATTTCAAATCTTGATATCTTTGATAATGATGAGCTATTGCCTTCAACCTCTTTTTCTAATTCTGAAAAAAAAATCAATGATTAAAATCAAAGTTAGAATTGAACTAATTGTCTTGCAAAATTAAAGAAAAACACTAATTTATAACATTAAGAAACAATTAAATGATAAAAGGAATCATTTAAGATTTTAAGATGCAAAATAAATTATAAATTTCTAACACTAAAATAATTTTCAAATAAATCTAAACCACCTAAATTGACTTCCGTGCAAAAAAAATCAGCAAAATTGAGATTGCCATTTTCATTGAGAGGATGAAAGAACTCAAAGAAGCACGGTCAATTTGAAAAAAAACTGAAACATAAAAATTAAGAACTCACCAAAAAAAGAAGAAATCGAGGAGTTAATCGGCAAAGGAAGCTTACTTGTCGTATTAAAGGAGGAAGAATCGCAATTGGGAAGATGCGAAGGACAGCGTTGAGTTCCGTTAGACAGCGGCCACCGGAGGAACCGATGAGTCTGGAACAATTGACGGTGATTTAATAATATATTAGGTAATTAGGTACTGGGCTTATAATTATAATTAGGCTAGAGGTATAAAAAATATGGGTCCCTATATTTTAGAGGCCCTATTCTATTTCACCCATTGAACTTGCTAATGGGCGGGCCTGGGAATGTCCAATGGGCCCCAACTCATATACTCCATGCGTTTTTTAAAAAAGTTCCCATTTTGACTTTTGAGGATTTAAGAGGAGTGTATTTTGGTGTTGATTTTCTAAAAATGTCCTTTGATGTGGTGGATAAAGTAGGATGAGATGGATAAATTAATAGAGAAATAATAGTGTGGTGTGATAGATATGTTAAGAATTAGTAGGGTTAAAGTGACTTTTTTTTAAAAAAAAAAGTGTTTTTGAGACGGATGAAAAAAGAAATGAGAACTTTTTTGCGGGACGGATGGAGTAGTAGGAATGCTTCTTTTTTTATTACTCCCTCCGTTTGCAAAAAAGGTTCCTACTTTGACTTGGAGCCAAAATAAAGAAGTGTTAAATTATACTCCCTTCGTCCCCCTAAGATGTTCTCATTTTGACTTTTGGTGGTTTTAAGGAAAGTTGAAAAAAAGTGAAAGTTTACCATAATATCCTTAATGAAAATGGGTGGAGTGTATTAAATGAGGTGGGTGAGATGTAATAAATAAAGTAAGTGAGGGTAATTGTGGTATTTTAATTGTTAAAAAATGAAATGAGAAGATATGCGGGACGGATGGTGTAATTGACTTCTAGTTTTGCCCTAATCTAAAATGCAATGGGTGATGGGTCAACTAGGGGCAGTTCACTACTACGAGTAGTTCTACAAGGTAGGGGTGACTCCAATATAATGATGGAGCGGAATTATTCATACTTTTCCATAACTAGTCATAATTGGATTTATGCATCATTAGAAAAAAGATTAAAGTTAAAATAAAATATTAAAAATTAAACAAAATAAGAGTTTCATATTTTTATTTTCGAAATAGGAGTTAAAATGCATTTACATTAATAGTCATGATCATATATATTACCAAAAAACTATAGTATATGCATATGTACGGTGTCACATTACCAATGGAATTCTTATGTTTCTACTTTTTCTGATAGAATTTGGGATGAGTATGGACAACTAGATTGGGCAATAAGACATTTGGGTTGAACCACATTAAAAGATTGAATCCAATCGATTAGTTAGTTCAACTCAAGAATTTATATACTGATGGTGTAAATTACCACGCAAATGCTAAGTATAAGTAATCGGAAGGGTTGTAGGTGGAAACACCTGTAACCCAGTTTGTTATTTATGATAATAAGAGCTATTACAAAGTACAAGCCGTGTGGATTAATAAAAGCATGCCCCACAAATGAAGCTTTTAAGGGTATTTATAATAATCCTAAGCACGTCAAACACGTCTCTGATTATCCGGCCGGCCAGTTGACTGACCGGTTCTCTAGGCTCACTTTGATGGCAGAATCTGTATCTCCACCTTCTGACCAGTCAGACCTACCGAGTCGGACAAGTCAGGTGGTGTCACATTTGGTACCTCCCAGTCGGTCAGACTTACCGGGTGGTACCCATGGGTTATTACCCATCATATACCGATTAATTTCCTCACACTTTTCCGATGTGGAATGCTCTTTAACATTCTCTATATTTTTTCCTAGTTAGAGTGATTTCTTTGTACACTATACCATCATAACACAACACTGCTAAACCGAAACCAACTACTTTAAAAAAAATATTTTGTTATTATAGTCTACAACTGTTAGGCTAAAAAAAGTCAAATAAAGAAAACAATTAATTACTGGACGGAAGTCATGGAACGGGCATTATTAGTATCTTTACCCCTTTCATCCACTGTTTATTTTAATTAGAGGACGGAGCGAATTCCATTATGTTATGAATGAGAAGAATTTGACTCAAATTTAAATTTAAAATTTTTAAGTTTTCCAAACATGGAATTTGAGCAAAATCTGGATTTGAAATTTAAATCCATGTTCCCAAACATACCATTAAGTTAATTATTAAGTTGATTCGAAATACGGAGTCTAAAATAGCTTAGCTTTTAAATTAATGCACAGTTAGTTTATCAATTCTAAAAATTTCAAAAAAAAAAATAAAAAAAATTCACAAATTATTATTCATGTCATGCTAGCGTTACGACGTACACATTTGATCCTTTTGTTAAATTTACCTTTATTAATCTACGTATTCTTTTCTCTTTTTCATAATAAATGCATGTGAATAATCCTCATTTTTCATATAATATAATCGAATATGTAGGTCCATTTTTCATAATAGTAATAATAATAATAATTTTTACTTTTATTAGTCTACTTTTTAAATACTCCGTAATAATAAATCACTTTTTAGTTTTTCTTTTGCCGTATATGTGAATTATGGGTTTCAAAATTAGACACTGTCCATCTGAGTGGGGACGAGGTTGTGCCAAACAGCCAAAGTGACAATTAGTTATCCGTTGGCATCTTTATCTCATGAATTATTGTGTTTCATTAGAGGTTTGCCAGCCATATATATATATATATATATATATATATATATATATATATATATATATATATATATATATATATATATATATATATATATATATATATATATATATATATATATATATATATATATATATATATATATATATATATATATATATATGGGATTGACTCCGGTGAGATGACACCTTGTGGTAAGATGACGTGTTTCAGTGAGATGGCGCTGGAGCTCACCACTGATCACTGCAAAACTCACCACTGTCCACTGCAAAGCTCACCATGATTTTCCAACACTTTACTTTTTTTCAAACTTGATGGTTAAATACTTACAAAGTCCAACAACAAAGCTCACTCACTCTCATTGCAAAGTTCACCGAATATGTGCACAAAGCTCATCACACTTTAAAGTTTAAAATGATTTTAAAAAAAAACAAAGGGTGGTGGTGCTGACTTCCAACCGCTGCAGACTACCGCCGTGGACCGGTGATTGACTGGTGCTGCAATTTTATTAGCTTTTTTTTTTAAAAAAAGTGGTGAGCTTTGCATTGTTCCTTGGTGAGCTTTCCATTGTCAGTTGATGAGCTTTACACTTTGACCGCCCATGACCAATGGCCACCACCGATAACCTCCACTGTCGTCGTGGATCGGTGGTTGAGCGGTGGTTGACTGGTGGTTGAATGGTAGTGCTATTTTTTTAACTTTTTTTATTTAAAAAAAAAGTGGTGAGCTTTGCATTAATATTTGGTGAGCTTTGCATTGACAGTTGGTGAGCTTTGCATTGGCAGTTGGTGAGCTTTCCATTGGCAGTGTTGTGTGTTGTGTCATCTGATTGAAGCATGTCATCTTAACCATAATGTGTCATCTCACTGGAGTCAATCCCTATACATACATACATACATACATACATACATACATACATACATACATACATACATACATACATACATACATACATATATATATATGGATTGACTTCAGTGAGATGACACCTTATGGTGCGATGACATGCTTTGGCTAGATGACGCAAAGCTCACCACTGCCAACTGCAAAGCTCACCAAGCACAACTACAAAGCTCGCCAAACTGTAAGGCAAAGCTCACCATATTTTTTCAACACTTTGAATTTTTTTTGAAAAAATAAAACCAAAGAAAGGGGTGCTGACTAGACTTTGACCGTTGACTCCAGCATTGACCGCCGCCTGCCGCCGCCGCTAGTTTCCGGTCGCCGCCGCTGCCGCCGGTCTCCGGTCGCCACCAATCGCCGCCGCCAATCACCGCCGCCAATCACCGCCTGCGGCCCCCGTTGACCGGTGTTGCTATTTTATTTTTAATTAATTTTTTAATTTTCAAAATTAAAAAAAGTTAAGTTTTGGGGTTCAAAGTTGTGAGCTTTGCTTTATTTCCAGGTGAGCTTTGCATTGTTCATTGGTGAGCTTTGTAGTATAGTGTGGTGAGCTTTGCGTTATCTGACCGAATCATGTCATCGCACCGTAAGGTGTCATCTCACTGGAGTCAATCCCATATATATATATATATATATATATATATATATATATATATATATATATATATATATATATCATGGAGGGGCCTCTTTTTTTTTGGTACAGGAGCGGCCTCTATATGCATTTTTGAATTGTGGTCATTCAAATTTCAAATTAAAGCGTTCTTGTTTGGCATAGGTCCTTAGTCTCATCACCATGCAATTTTGGTACTCATATTGTTCTCCTTTAATTTGCATTTTCATAGACTAAAAAAATTAAATTGCTCTCCGTATTATTTAGATGAGAAAGTCTAAACTGACACCAACGCTATTGGTTTTATTTCCTTATACTAGTTCGTTTGGGCATCTACGTAGAATGTCTTGTTAGTAAAAATATGGTTCATACTCTCTATTGAGATTTATATATAAAGTAAAAAGGTATTTAATAATTATCATACGGTACCCGGTTAATTATAGAGTATTTTTTATAACACTGTACCATAATTAATATACTTTTATAACATAGTGTTAAAAATTTTAAGATATGAAATTATCTTATTAATAAATAATACTCCGTATATTACACAATAATTTAATTACCATAATTACCTTTTATACAGTACTTTAATTTATTTCACATGGTGTATTATAGTTCATAAATATTTATTACCTTTTACATGTCATTATTACATGTACTCTTTTTGTGATTGAAGACCATTTAGGCGGAAGAATATAGTGGAGAATTTCTTTCTTTTTAAACATAATATAGATGTCTATTTGAAAGTGGTTTAAAAGCATGATATAAAAGTATTAGGTAGCGTAGCTAGGTTCTGTGAATATTTTCTTATTTATATACCCCTCTGTCGATTAACTTCTTTTATGATCAATCTTGTGGATTCTCGGTAGTTTTTGTTAATTTGTATATTTTCAATGATAATTTAATAAAATAAAATATGCATACCACATATTTATATAATATAATGGTTTCTAATCAAGCACAATTAAAGAACATGTGTTTTGGGGTACAGATAAAAGAATA